TCAAAAATCTTACAAATCATCGCATCCTCATTATCATTGCCATTATTATTATTATTATTATTATTATTATTGTTGTTGTTGTTGTTGTTGTTGTTGTTGTTGTTGTTGTTGTTATTATTGTTTGTTTTTATTCTTCCAATTAATTTATTCTCCAATTGTTTCTCTTCAGTCATTATTGGCAGCATTGGATTCGAGCTCTGATGACGGAATACATAATTAATTATTATTTATAACAATATTACTACTACTACTACCAATAATAATAATAATAACAATAATAATAATAATAATAATAATAACAAAAGACTTTTGCTTCACTTAGTCCTAGTGTTTGCCAACTCGGTTTACATCTGCACTTATCACACTCTAGCGTTCAAAAAATAAAACTTGATAGCCATAATGATACACATACAGATACGCATACAGATACACATACACATACAGATACACATACAGATACAGATACGCATACAGATAAACATGTATCTATTTATTGAAAAATTATATAACTTTATTCAATTTGGAGTCCTGGTTTTGTTGTTGTTGTTGCTGCTGCTGTAACTTCATCTCATTAACTTGCTGTTGCAGCAGTTGCAGTTGCTGTTTTTCCTTCTCTCTCTTTTCCATCGTTCCCTCGTGATAGCCTAGTCATAAATTATGTTAATGAAGCGTGTGTATAAATTATGTTAATGAGACGTGTGTATAAATTATGTTAACGAAGTGTATGTGAGAGAGAGAAAAAAATTCCAACCCTCCATTAATTTCGATGTTATCAACGATATAATCTTCATCCAAGCTTCTCTGGTCAAATCGTCGTAGTAGCAGCCGCTACAACATGTACTTTTTCCAAATTTACTACTTCTACCACTACTCTTACTACAGCCTCTGCCATCTTTGCCACAGCCACTTGCATTGAAATTACTACCGCCGCTAATTCGTCTCAAACTTTTTTCAACATTTTTTCCTATCAATATACTTCCACTACTGCTACTAGGAATCGTTATATTATTATTACTATTATTATTATTATTATTATTAGTAGTAGTAGTAGTAGTAGCAGCAGCAGCAGGAATCTGATTGGTGGACTTCCATTTTTTTCTCAGTCGTTTCAGGCTGCTGCATCGTCTCGAGATCAACGTATCTCCGGATTTTCTCATCTCCATTTTATTAGAAATATTTTTTACACCATTATTCTCAATTTCATTATTATTATTATTATTATGAGATATTTGAATCTTACCATAATTATTACCGTCGTTGTGATTAACAGCCGGACATAAACTTTCTAGATCATCAACGGGTGTCTTGTCATTGGTTGACGGTTTTTTAAGCTCCATGCCCTCATTAACATACCAGCCTGAGCCTACCCCTTTAAGCTCCTCCTTCTCATTATCATATCCGCATAAGCCTGGAATTTTTAACGTTCCACCGTTTAAAATGATGGCCCAGGTTTCGTCGAAGGCTCGTTCAACAGCCCGCAAATAACTGAGCTTGAAGCCGTCTATGCAAGTGTGAATGCGACCTGAATAAATTATGTTAATTTTATCGTAGTATTGGAAATGAGCAGGTAGTACCAGTTAATTTATGTAGATTATTTATGAGTGAGTATGTAAATGAGGCCAGCTAAATATAGCAGCCAATCCTACCTAAGTGTTTGAGGTTCGGGATGATGATGACGTCAAGAGCGTGCAAGTTTTCCATCGTCACCTCCACAGCTTTCATAAATCTGG